AGAAAACCCATTCACTGTGGAAACTAGTCAGAAATCTGTTACATAAGAATCAGAATTTACTAAACCAGAATTAGAAGAGGAATTCTATTCATAAGATCAATAAAGGATAAAGGCAAAATGTGAGCTATTATTATTTATTGTCATTGTTAACTTATTTTCTCCCTTTAAATTGGAAGTTCCATGAAGCCAGAAACTTTGATCATTTGTTCACCACTCTATCTGCAGACTGAAACAATATTGGGTACAGAGTAGCTTGCTCAGTAAATACTTGCTGAACCGATAAATGATATGAATCTTCTATGAACCTTCTTGGAAAGGGACAGGGTGGGGAAACACCACTAAAAGTGTATCCCCAGTGCTCAGCTAAGAGGCTCAGGTTTGAAACCAAACACTGTTTTATCAAACTTGTTGTGTAAACACAATCTAGCAAAGGTGAAGAGCTGTTCTTTGGTGGATCCTAAACACTATCCTAGATTGAAAACAGATGTACTACAGACTGCTGAAAGAAGAAACAATTTAGACACTCTGTAAGGTTTCACACTGGGAAAATTGAAGAACTGAAATCATCTGAATCATAAAGGATATGGCTTGGTTTATCTAGGCAATGGCAATCCTCCATTTCAGTGTTATTTACAGAAAAGAATGCATTGTGTAAGATTATGGAAGCTGGGGCTGTCACAAAGCAATGTGGAGAATGTCACAATGACACTTTGCATCATTAAACCAATATATCATAATGTTAGGGAAAATCCCATATTCTCCCCTAGAAATGGAGAGAACAGTAAGAGTTGAGATATTTTTAAATAAGTAGAGTTACTTTTTACTATAGTTTATTAACAATCTTACTTGGAATATGGAACTAAATACTACATATTTCTGCTTTCCCTAATATGGCCTTTTCCCTGATCATCATAAAAACATCTACTACACTGAGTATTTTTCATTGCAGAAATGATATTGATTTATTAGAAAATACTAGCAAAAAGGCACTCAGATAAAATAGTCTTTAACTCACCTGCTATTTTTACTTGCCTTAACATTGCTGTCTCCCTTGGGAGAAAATACACATTCTTCAGAAGGTTAAAGTATGTGAGAGTGTGGATTAATGATACATATTTCTACTCTTCATCTTTTTGTTAGATGAGATTACATTTTAAATAAAAAGAACAATGCTTAGCATCTTAAATATGTGGTTATTGTGAAGAACTAAAATTCCCAATAGAGCCTCAACATTCATTAGCAGTTAAATGGCTGTTTTCCAGTCACTACATCCATCGCACAATGACCAAGGGGCAGCGATTGTATTATAGCAGGTAGTTACACCACTCTTCCAGGCTTCCAGGCTAAAAGACTGAGTAAAATGCTCACCATAACTGCATACAGGGGCACAGTGAAGGACACAGGATGACCCTCAGAAGAGAGCTGCTAAAGAGGAATAGGACAAGCACAAATTGTAAGGCAGCTTCTTGGAGTCCATACTTGCTGACAGTGGTTTCTAGCCTAGCAAGATACAGCATGGAAAAGTCGAAATATCTTTTTTTTTTTTTTTTGCAGTTTTTGGCCGGAGCTAGGTCTGAACCCACCACCTCCAGCATATGGGGCCAGTGCCCTACTCCTTTGAGCCACAGGCACCACCCTAAAAGATCTTAATTTGAATTCCAGCTCAGTGACCCTTACTCACTTGGGCAGTTTACTTAATCTCTGAACTTCAGACTCTTTCTGTGAAATGGTGCAACAATTCCTGCTTTAGGACCCTTGTGAGGATTAGGCAAGATAATGAAGGTGAAGACCTTGGCACAGGGCCTGGAACATATTAGGAGCTCAGTAAAGGAGAACCATTAATATCATTACTATGGGAGTGGTGCTGACCTTGAGAGATCAACCTATGGCTATGATTTAAATGTGCCATTTGTTGTCCAAAGTGCACGTGAAGCATGCATTTTAGCAGCAAGCTTGCCACATGCTAAATATTCCATAATTAAGTTTTAATTTTATCATTGTGTTGATGTGTACATCCATGCAATGCCAAAGATCCAGAGGTTAATAACACCATATATTCTGGAAAGCATCTTCAGGCTACTAAGTCCAATGCCATGACAAGATGCTTTTTTCCAGGAGGTCATGCAACAGCTCAGCCATAGTTGTATTTTTGTGACAGAAAAATAGGGTAGAAAGTGAGTGGTTCTCCCCTCCAGAAAGCTGAAGTTGTAACAGGACTATCAGGGTGGTTTAGACCCAAGCTTAGAGAAGGACTCAGCAGGAGCAACAGCAGAGAAAAGATGCTACTCTTAACATTTCTCTTTTCTTACTTAGGCACCTGGCATTTCCTGACATCTTTCCAGTGTGAGTTCACTGTCTACTAAAGTTTGCAGCAGGACCCTTTTAAAGTACAGAATAGTCACATCTGGATTTTTAGAAAGCAGGGTTCACCAGTGGAAAACTCCACTGACAACAGAAAGTCAAACACAACTAAGGATACTTAACTCGTAAGGCCCTATCAGGATAGTTGAACAGCAGCCCATCACCTTTTGATAACTTTCAGGTGAAGTTAAGATTCTCAAACAGCACTTTCTCATTTTGAGATGAGCCTCCATCAAGAACAATGAGGACTTAAATTACTTCCCCAAACCGGCTATGGGTGCGCCTTTCAAAATCTCACCTTAGGCTCGGTGCCAGCCACATACACCAAGGGTGGCAGGGTCAAACCCGGCCTGGGCCTGCTAAACAATGACGACAAAAAGATAGCCAGGCATTATGGTGGGCACCTGTAGTCCTAGCTACTTGGGAGGCTAAGGCAAGAGAATCACTTGAGCCTAGGAGTTTGAGGTTGCTGTGAGCTGTGAGGCTACAGCACTCTACTGAGGGCGATATAGTGAGACTGTCTCAAAAAAAAAAAAATCTCATCTTAGCACAGTTGGGAACTTGTAGGTAATTAGTTTGAGAACATATATACAAATGTCTAGTTTTTCCTAGTTTTCAAAATGTGCATAAAGGAACATGGAAGTAAAAGAAAGTGAAAGAAAAATGGTCTTTCAATTAACTGCATCTAGTCATTGTATGAGTCAGGTTTCAGTGATACTGATGGTAAGATACCTTACAATAGATGTGTGTTTGGCCAAACAATTGTTGGAGGCCCAGAATGCTTCCATTTGTGACCTTCAGTTTCATTTCCTAATGAAGAGTATGCACTTGGGGTTTATGTAGATCCTAACTAGTTTTATAGCCTTGTGAAGCCACTTACCTCTTTGAACCTCAATTTTCGCATCTGTAAAGTGGGGATAATCATGCCTACCTAGCAGGGTGGATGTAAGAATTTAATGAGTTCATGCATAAAATGTGGTTCGTTATTGTTTATTTTTAGCCTCCAGGTGAAATAAAATTCAGCACCTAAATCTTAGGGAGGAAAAGATTATAAGCATGAATCTGCTAAGATTCCAGGATAATCATCACACTCATTTGCTTCCCAGTTGGAGTGGAGAGTGAGTTTACATGATGATTTAATTATGAGTTGAGTGCAAAAGTTTGGTCTTTCTCCCTACATTAAATGTGAGAATGCAGGTAAAAGTGCTCAATAATGTTAACGGCTGCTATTCTTACTGTTGTTCTTACTTATTAGTCCAGGAAAACATCATGCAATGCAGAAAAGAAAGTGGAGAAGCAAAGGTTGTTTTTTTTTTTTT